GCCAGGACTGCCTTACAGCTATTGGAAGGCCAGACCCTGTAATGCATGAGCCAATTCCTCCAAGTAATCTTTTACCGTATTTATGTGTGCATGTGTATGGTGTGTGTGTTCTTATTCAACGCTAGTCATGTAAGATGTGAGTGTGTGTGTGTGTGTGCTGGTCCAACACTTTAGTCATGTAAGATGTGTGTGTGTGTGCTGATCCAAAACTTAGTCATGTAACATGTGAGTGTGTGTGAGGGTGTGTGTGTGTGTGAGAGAGAGAGACAGACAGACAGAGGGAGAGTGTGTGTGCTGGGGATGAAAAGGAGAAGCCAGATAGTCAAGCAGTTCCATGTGACCTGGAGACTTTGTAAGGATTTTACACCTGGGAAGTGAGAAGACCAGATCCACATTTTAGAAAGGGCTGTTACTATGCAGAGCAGAAGCGAAGAAAAACTTGCTTAAATTCGAGCACGATTTATATTAGTTTTTTTTTTTTTCAATAGGGGAAAGAGGTGCTGGATCTGTATCATTGGTGGCAGGGTCTGTCTTGCAAAGGTTTACGCGAATCTTTTCAGTCAAGTCAATGGCTTTCCCTGGGAAGAGCGCGCAACCAGGGAAATACTCCACCGGGCTGCGCGCAGGGCTGGACGCTAAACTCTGGCACACAGCAGTGGGGTGGGAGGGTGGAGGTCAGCCAGGATTCCTGCTGCGAAAGTGGGAAGAAAGAGAAAGTTTACAGACCGCTGGAAGTTCCGCTAGCTCCAGCGCGCTCTGAGAATTCGCCTATCACGAGGCCAGCCTCAAACCTCACCGGCCTCGCTTCCTGAGCCCCCAGGTCGCGGCGAGGTCAGCGGTCGCCGCCTCCCGAGCTGAGCGCGGTCTGTACCTGCGACCCGGTCCCCGCGGGGAGTGGGGCTGAGGTCGAAGCCCCTACCCCGCCGCCTCGAGCCACCTCCGTCCCCAGTAAGGCGGGCTCGCCCGGAGCACCTAGCCAGGTTTCCTGGCTTCCCTCCACCCCCGGACGTCTCCACCCTGGCACTGCGGGCTGCATCTCCATCCTTTTCGGTCTGGTCTGGGACATTCCGCAGATCAGAGCGCCTGGCCCAAGTCGTGCACCCCTGAAGGTGCGGGCGGGGAGGGCTGGAGGCTGGCATCGTCACACCACTCCAGTCCCACGGGTCTCCGCGTCCAAGGCCCCACGTCCCCGCGTAACCCCGGGATGCAGGGGATGCATGAGGGCCAGGAAGACGCCCACAGGCCAGAGGCTGGGGACGCCCGCGCCGAGCCAGCGCCACACCCCGCTGCTCGGCCTGGCAGGGGCTGGGATGCGTGCCCGCAAGGGACAGAGAGGAGCTGGCGGGAGGGCGCGGGAAGGGGCGCGCGCGAGGGGAGGCGGCAGGTGATCCCGGCCTGCAGCCCAACGCCGACCCCGGGGTGCACGTCGGGGAGGGGAGGGAGGAGGGCTGCCCGCCCGCAGGCGC